AGTAAATCTAGACCTCATAGTGGTGATGGAGAGAGAATACCCTGCCTCTGCCGGGAATCGAACTTCGGTCTTTCACTCCGTCACAAGTAAATTTTTACAGAGGTATCCCTGGACACAATAATGATAAAAGGAAATAAAATATAATGCTAATAAAATAAAGGTAAAGCTGCCCGTGTAACAGGCCCTGAAGGCCCATAAGGTTGTGTGTGAAACGTCTTGTCTGTGCTGTCTGCCGGCTCACGTCCAAGGTCATCAACCTCCCCCCCCCCCCCCCCCCCCCGNCGCTTGAAAAACAGGCGTTTCCTCTGCTCCACCCTGTATATATTACAGTAGAAACATGAAATCCTCCATTATCGGTTCTTAGCGCCTTCTCGTGAAAACTAGAAACAAATGCGAAGTAGCTGCACAGTAGACAAAACGGCATTCCGTAATAGTAACTAGAAATCAACTCGAAACTGTAAAACCTAGTACGTGTTTTTACTGCTCTTTTCGGTTAAAACTAGTTCTTGCTGTATGTGCATACGCTAAAGTTGTTTATAGCCGACACAAAACACATGTAACCAGTCCGTAATGGACAGACTTTGCATACACAGAGCTGATGAACATTTATTAATATATTTGTACGATATATGTGATTGGTGTAATTTAAGTATGTGATGATTGATACCGACGAAATTTTGTCCTGTTTAGCTCTTTGATGTGTCATTGAGACAACTCATCTCCCGGTTCCTGCTTGTCATAACAGATTTCTGTAAGAAACGCGTAAAAAATGCATTAATATTACAGTCGTAATGATAGATTTTTCTTGTCAGCATACAAATTTTGGAGTACTGAGAACTCGCAGAAGAAACGATGGTTGTTTCAGGATTTTTCTTGTGAACATACAATTTTTGGAGTACTGAGAACTTGGAGAAAAAACGAGGGTTGTTTCAAGATTTTTGTTGTCAACATACAATTTTTTGGAGTACTGAGAACTCAAAGAAGAAACGAGGGTTGTTTCAAGATTTTTCTTGTGAACATACAATTTTTGGAGTACTGAGAACTCAAAGAAGAAACGAGGGTTGTTTCAAGATTTTTCTTGTGAACATACAATTTTTGGAGTACTGAGAACTCAAAGAAGAAACGAGGGTTGTTTCAAGATTTTTCTTGTGAACATACAATTTTTGGAGTACTGAGAACTCAAAGAAGAAACGAGGGTTGTTTCAATATTTTTCTTGTCAACATACAATTTTTGGAGTACTGAGAACTCTGAGAAGAAACGAGAGTTGTTTCCAAGTCAATTTTGCATACTGAACTCTGCAGTCCGGTCCACGTAAGGACTGAGGACGGCGTACAGCATACATTTATCCTGTTTTTTTTATTAGAACCACATCGATGAATCCGTTCTGGTTCTTACTTAGATGAAACGTGCAAAATGGGCTACTTTCTCACTTAAGCAATATTAGTTGCGCCATATATTTTACATCCAAAATGTCACAATAGGAGGTCCTACAAAGAAAACTAAACAGTAATTAAGTAGATAATTTTACGATAATCCACATTTGCCTTTTAATAATTGTGTATATTCCTTCATGTTATATTAAACGCATTTCTTTCGTTATTTTTTTTTCACTTTTTATAATATAAATTTCTGTTTCTCTTTCAAGATAGTTTTGATATTTAAAACAATTTATATATTTGTTTTAGAAGGTGTGAAAAGTGACGGAAAATTAGTTATTCTGATTCATAACAATTTTGTCGACTATCACTTTCCAGCATAATTAATAAACACAAGATTCGAAAATGTACTTCATAATGTAGGAGTATGTAGGAGTTTATGATTTCGAGTTCTGTTAATATAAGGCCGTCTTTTCAACTACGTAGGCAACACAGTAAAATGTGAGAATGGTTGTGGGTGATGACTTAGAAATAATGTGGAAAGAAATCTGCCACGGCCTGTTTTAAGGTATTGTAACGTGTTTGCCTTACTGAAGACGCCGTAGAGATGGTTAATTGGTTTATTTAACAATCTACAACTATCGGCTACAATTAATTATCTCACAGTTGCGGGGTTTCACACTTTATAACCCTAATCGCATTAATCTGTTAACACTGTTGCGGGGTTTCACGATTTCTAACCCTATGCGCAAATCAGTTCACTCTGTCTTCAGTAGTATACACGTTTACCGTAGGGGAGCTATGTATCACTGTATCACACGCTCCCAATTACACAATCGCACACACGTCCGGATCTTCTTACCGCGACGGCTGCTATACTCCAACTGTAGTCGGCTGGCTGTTACTTTATAACTCGGAATGTCTTCGGCGGTAGCCACACTGGAACTCGAACTCGAACTCA